AAAAAAAAAAAGAAGAAGAAGAATAAGGGGCGGGGGATGTAGCTCAGTGTGAAGGCCTTGGGGTTCAGTCGCCAGGACAGAGGGAGGGGTGGGGGTGCTGGGTGAATTAAGGGGCTATCTTGAAACTGTTGAGAAAAGCTGTGCTCATCCAGAACCTCCTGGAATCTCTTCCTTGGTCCCCCATGTTGGCTCCTTGAGGTAGACAGAGAGCCCTGGGCGAGATGTAGTGTCTGTGTTTCAAGTACTATAGAATAACGTAGGAATGTGCGTTTATCGAGCACTCACTGTGAGCTGGTGAGTGGGAACCTTCAGTCCACCCAGTAATTCTGAGGTAGGTATTACTATTAATCCCTCATTTTCTGAAAGGGAAACCAAGGCACAGAGATGAAGGGACTTGCCAGAATTCACCTGTCTGATCTGTGGCAGAGGCAGGCTTCCAGTGTTGGTGGTCTGGTGAAAGAAACACTCTCAGCCTCCACTCTGGAAAGAGGGAGCTGGGAAGCCGGCTGGTTCCCAAAGGCCAAATCCTGCCTACAGAGGAACCAGGCCCTGAGGCGGGTGGCAGGTGGAGCAAAGTTGACAGCAGTTGAGTGACAGCTCAGCCCACCATAGATTCTCTTGTAACGGGGCCTAAGGCCTGTGGTTGTGGGGTCACACCACCCCCAGACTCATACTTCAGGAACACCCCTTTGGGCCCACCCCCAGGAGCTTCCCCTGAATTCTCACATTTCCAAATGGAGTTGTCCCAGTTTCCTTGCTCCGGGTGAACGTGATAGGACTGGACGAAAGTCGGGCTCACTGTGCTGACAACCACATCATACTCCTCCACTTCGGCTCGCAGACAATCAAAGAAGCCTAGGGCAGCATGTTTGGAGGCAGCATCTAGAAGAAAAGGCAACCAGAGGTGGATGTGGCCCTGCTTCCTAGGGAGTGCACTGGGAAAAAGAGGGCTGACACACGTTCTTGTACGAGCTGAGAGCAGGAAAACGCTTCAGAAGTCCACATCTTGCTTTCCGGATAAGGACAGAGAGCCCTTATGAAGTAGGGGAAAGGAGCAGAGCAAGGACTGAGTCCAGCTCAGCCACTTGCCCAGTGTGTCGCCTTGGGCAGATCGCTTTACCTTTCAGACACTCAGTTTTCTTATCTTTACAACAGGGCTGATATTTCCATTGGCAAATTTTTGTGAGGTTATTCCTCCTTTATGAAGATCAAATGATTAAAATGTGTCACACAGGCAGAGGTTCCTACTGCTTTCCTGGAAGGCTAATCATACCCAAGGGCCTTGTCCCAGGTTGGGGCTGGCTGGTGGCTGTGATGATTCTGGAGCACAGACCTCCCTTTGGGCTCTCATCTCCCTTTCCCTTGGAGAAACTGTCCATGCCATTTAGCACCACATTTAGTCCAAGTCATGGAGGCCAGGGACTGAGTAAACATGAATCGTTCAAGAAATTCCAGAAAGAGTGGAATGATAACTTCTCAAAACTTTAGAAAGTTCCCGGGTGTGGTGGGCTCTAAATCACATTTTAGTGGTGTCCAGTGGAGATGGAGGGGTGCAGAAGGTGGATGTTTTACGGTGCCTCCCGCTGTGCCCAGATACTATGACCAGACCCCTTTCCCAGTTGTCCAGCCCAAACAGTCAGGCTGTCCTCTCCTTCTCCGTAAATGCCCCTTCAGACTGCCCCGGGGAAAAGCATCTGACCACCTCACTGTGGGGGGCTCAGGATGCAGGTCTGGGACTCAGGTTCCTCATCATAAAATGAGGCTCAGTGAGCCTCATGGAGATGCCAGAAGCATCACAGGACAAGACTGTGCCGTGCATCCCATGGTGCCCGGCCCTCTGCAGTTCTTGGACAAGTGGCTGGTATCTGTGTGACCACTCTAGCTTGGAACAGGTACAAAAGTAGAAGTGTCCACACTGAGGAACGGGAGCAGTGCAGTTGAGGGGCACTCTAGGGGCTTGTGGTGAAGAAGAAAGCCCAGGTTCTGCCCACTGCTGGCCGCTGCTGTCTGTTGCTCTGGAAGATGGACCCTGGCCTGGATAGAGTGTTCAGATGAAGCTGAAAATCATGGTATTTATTGCAATGTTCCAATATTTAAATAATTAAATAACAAAAGCCCCACCTTCATGCTGGCTGAACCAAACCCAGCTGAGCACCTGAATCAGCCCATGTCCTCCTCCCACGTTGTCCTTCCTTGGTTTATACAATGAATTTATGTGCATCATTTCACTTGAGTCACTTGGCATGTATGTGAGGGCCTGCTGTCTTGTTAATTTAATACACTTGGCCTCTGTATCTGTGGGTTTCACATCTATGGGTTCATCCAACTGTGCATTGAAAATATTCAGAAAAAGTACTGAACAGGTATAGGCTTTTTTTTGTTATTCCATAAACAAAACAGTGTAACAACTATTTGTGTAGCATTTATGTTGCATAAGGTTCAATGTTTTATGTGCTTTAAAAATGACTTAAAGTACACAAGAGGATGTGTGTAGGTCACATGCAAATATTACATCATTTTCTATAAGGGATTTGAGCATCAACAGGAGTTCTCCACAGGTACTGAGGTACCACCATATATCTATTGAATCAAGAGGGGCAGAGGAGGCTGGGGATTTAGCTCAGTGGTGCTGCGCCTGCCTCACAAGTGCAAGGTCCTGACTTTGATGCCCTGTACTGGAAAAAAATACAATAAAAAAGAAAGAGGGGCAGAGGAGCTACTATGCTCACTATGCAGTGAAGAACAAGAAGCTGAGAGGTTATGTGACAGTGCGACCATAGGCTGCACAACCACAGGTGGCTGAGTCTCAACTAGAATCCTGGCTTCCTGTTTCCTGTCTCTGTTAGGACGACCCTCAGTGTTTCACAGTGAATCCAATTCTACCTGCACCAACCCCATTGGGGTGACTATCAGGGAAGTGCAAATCAGAACCACAATGAAATACTACTTTACACTGTTAGAATCTCTGGACTCAAAATGTATAATTACAAGTGTTAGCAAGGAGGGGAGAGATTGGAACTCTGGTGCACTGCTGGAGGGAATGGAAATCAGTGCAGCTGCTTTGGAAATGAGCTGGCAATTTCTCAAACATTTAAATATAGAAGTGCCATATGTACCCCAGGCCTTTGTCAGAGCAGACTGCTGAGGACTACCCAGCTGCGCCGGCGCCCCTGAAGCACCCCCCCATGCTCTCCGGTCTCCTGGTTGTGCTGGTACCTGGATTCACGTTGCAGAGGCACCTGTGGTCATAAAGCCCATTGTATTGAGCTCCAGAAGATAGAACAGAAGTGAACAACTGCAATAAAGGCACATCAGACCTCTGTAGTTGCTAAGTTGGAGGGATCACCACCTTCCATCAAAACCTGGACTACTTTCAGGGGAAGGGCAGTTGAAACCTGCTGTACAACCTTGTAGAGTTCAACCCTGCAGGAGGTCAACTTGGGCCTTGCAGCCAGAATTCAGCCTGAATCTCAGGGGTCTGCCATTGGCTAGCTGAGACTAATTGCCTTAGTTCTGTACACTGCTGCCCACATTGTTTATTGTGACAGCAGAGATATACTTGAAAGAGGCTCTTCAAAATTTTTTTCCATCTTTTCCTCTTAATTTTAATTTTATTTTAAAAATTTTTATTTTTTTCCCCACTCTTCAAATTCTTCCTTTTTTCTTTCTCTTTTCTCCCATTCAATCTCTGCTCCTCCATGTTGTTCTTCATCTCCCTTTTTGTTCCTGTTCCGCACTAATTTGGATTTCTTCTTTCTTTTTCTTTTCTTCTCTCTTTTTCCTTCTCTCAATTGTCATGAGTTTCAAAGGAAAGTGAGCATAATTTATAGCTTCCCTATTACTGTTAAGTTGTTCTATTCTTGTTTTTATTCTTTCACTCTGTCTTTCTCTCTTGTCTTCAACAATTTCCTAGAGTTTGCATGATCATCCTGTGTCCTCTGGCTTTACTTGAAACCTTTTCCTATCCTTCTACCTATCTATTCCTCTCCTCCCAATTGATTCTAAGTCCCAATCCTGAAGGGTAAAATTGCTATATTGAAGAGTTTATTCACTATAAACATATTTTTAGCTGGTCCTCGGTTTTGATTTAATTCACATGGTTAAAGGTGATTGATTAATAACTACAACAAATGGTCAATTTCTAAGCTGTTCTTGATACTATTGTGTTGCTGATTGCATCAATTGGGCTAAAGTGTTGTGATTGATTTAATCAGTTATCCTTCCTGATGTTATGAAAATGAGAATATCTCTGAGTCATTAGAGACTTAAAACATAAAAAGCAGCTATATTAGGAAGATTGAAGTACTGACCCAATAGTTAAACCAAGGACAGCACAAAACAACAAAAATAAAAATAAGAAAGCACTTAAGCAAGGCGCAAATACAGATATCCAGCTCATCAATAGCAAATACTAGGGGAAATGAGGTTGAATAGTCTGACAATTAACCACCAGGACACCCTGAACTCATAGCACAGGAAGTAACAAAACAGAGCAATCAGGCTCTAGAAAAATTCAAACCAGAAATAATTTCCCAGATAACTGTAGAGATGGTGAGCACAATAAAAAACATGATTAGAAATTCTAGAACAGTAACAGACAAAAAATAGATGAGTTCAGCACCATGATAGAAGTCATGAATGCCCAGCATAGGGAAGAATGGAATCCATGAAACAGATTAAAAAAGATATCCCAGAAATTAAACACTCTATTGAAAATTTACATAAGAGACTGAGCCAATCTGAAGACAGGATATCAGCTATAGAAGACAGGATGGAGAGCAGTGGCCATGAAAAGAAGAATCTCTTAAAAATAGTAAGGAAACATGAGAAATCAATCCAACAGCTCCTAGATCATGCCAAGAAGAATAATATAAGACTGATAGGAAGCCATGAAAAAGCAGGAGAAAGTACAGATGACATAAAAAAAAACTGTTCACAGAATTAATGACAGAAAACTTCTCAAACAGAGCAAAAAATTTGACCTACAGATAAGTGAGGCATATGGGACTCCAACTAGCCATGATTAAAAAAAAAAAATCTACACCTAGACATATAATAACCAAGATCCTGGAAACCCAAAAGAAGAACAAAATACTACAAACAGAGAAAAGAAACAAATCACGTGCAAAGGAAAGCCCATCAGAATCACAGCAGACTTTTCAACACAAACCCTCAGGTCAAGGAGAGCCTGGAGTGAGGTATTTCCAGCCCTAGAAGAAAACAAACTCCAACCTAGACTGATGTATCCTGCAAAACTCTCTTTTAAAATTGATGGGGAAATAAGATACTTGCATGACAAAGAACACCTGAGAAACTTCATGAATGCCAAACCAGCGCTCCAAGGAATTCTAAACAATATCCTAGAAAAAGACAATTAAGGTCACAACACCATGAGACCCAACACAGCAAATCAATTAGGCAAGGCAAGAAACTAAAGGGAGAAGGGGAAAATGAAAAAGAGCCAACAACAGCACAATAACAGGATGATAAGTCAGTACATACCAGTTATAAACACCAATGTTAATGGCTTCAATTCACCAATCAAAAGAAATAGACTGGCAGAATGGATTAAGAAGCAAAATCCAACAATATGCTATATACAAGAAACACACCTAGTTCAAAAAGAAACTCATAGATTTAAAGTAAAAGGATGGAAAACAGTTCTCATGTGGCAGGCACCCACAAAAAAGCAGGGGTAGCTATCTTATTTTCAGACAAAGTAAAATTCAAACCAAAACTAATTAAGAGAGACAAAGAAGGTCACTATATCCTTGTAAAGGGAACAATCCAAGAGGGAGAAATGACAATCATAAATATATATGCACCAAATACTAATGCTCCCAACTATACAAAACAAATACTAAGGGACATGAAAAAGCAAA